AGAGATTTTGTTGAAAAGCTCTCAGCCTGATCAAAATAGGATTCCAAATATAATTCTGATGTCTAGTAATTTGGTTAGGTTTTGGCGAGTGGGTCGATTGGCACGGAAGCATTCCAAAAGGTAAGCAAGGTGCTGAGAAATGGAAAAATATCGTTAGAAACAAAGAAAAGAGTTATTGTCTGCTATGTGATATCCTTCCTCTTCTTTGGCAATGAATGTTGGACAATTTCTCCACGGATGAAGGGAAAAAGGGAGGCTGTTGAAACGTGGTTCTACGGAAGGATACTGAGAATCGCATGGATGGAGCAACAAAAGAGTAGTAACGAAAATGGCAACAGAAAGAAGACTTTTACTCAGAACCAGGAAAAGGCAGCTGGAATTCTTAGGACGCATATTGAGGAAGGAAGGCTCGTAAAACAACAATCACGAGGAATATTGAAAGAAAGACGAACAGAAGAAGATAACTAACCATTTACCTGACGAGATTGTGTAACTGGATGGAAGAATGGAGTGCGGGTACCTTACCAATGGGGGAATAACGGCTACGTGTCACAAGGGATAGGAAGTTGTAGAGAACCATGATCGCCTATTTATAACACTCACGTTCCTGGGTCAAACGTGTTGCACCAGCCAGATATTGTGGTCACTGCCACAATCCACCTATACCAGAAGATGAGAGTACATCCGCGGTCCGGTTCTCAGGGTCGTTGAACGACGAGTCAGTCACAGAGTCAACCCTACGTTGGCCAGTACCGCTGTTAGTCAACTGGTTGTTGGTCGCTGGCCGTTTTGATCCACACCAATCTGCCTACGCTGTATTCTTTGATCTCAGAATATGGAATGTCACCTGTAATTCGAAGTGCTAGTTCGACTAATTGCGAAGCTGCATTATGAAAGAAAAAAATGTTCTCGTAGACGAAATAAGAACAGAAGTTTTAAATTGGTTTATATAATTTCTGGTACAAGAATCAACCCATACCTCTTAAATTTCCATAGTGGCACTTTGCTCTTCTAAATTTTGGAAAGGGGTTCAAAGTCGGGATTTCTCCTGGCAGCAGGTCACGTGGGTATTCATCCGCTCTTCGCCGCTCGTCTCGTCTCTCTCTTGCTCTCTCTGAGTCGCCAAAGCGATCTGTTTATATCGAATCTGGCCCAAAACCGGCGTTGTTCGACTGTCTAGAGTTTTGGTAATTCCCCATCTTGAGTGACAGGTATCCTCCCGCCTTTATAACTCATACTGGCTCGGTCTTATTGTAATCATTGATTTTTTCATAACAAATATTATTTCCCAGTCTTTGATCTGGTTTGTTTTAGTGTAATTTAACCCGCTCCCACAAATCTCTGGTTATCATACAGACCTTACAGGTTCGATTCTCATTTCAATTTCCTTTTTGGGTGACAGATTAAGTTTCGTTTCCCGAGTTGTTTATATTTCCACAATTATATTCCAGATGCCCCTTCCATTTTTGTCGACAGTCATACCTTAACTTTTCTCAAATCGGATTTTACTTCCCACGGTTGGCGAATAACCCGGAATATACCTTAGTGATTTTTTTTCCTGCACGCCGGTCTTTCGATATTCTCTCTTCCTCCCCTCACATATTCCTAGTTTATGTTATTAAATTAACCCCGTTAATTTCCACAGTGTCACATAGCGTCACATATGTCCTGAAGTCGAGCGAAGACTTTTCAGCACCCACCTAGATTTTAAAATAATAATAATAAATGTATTGTTATATTTAAGTATATACACTATATATCTCCCTGAATTCACAATAAGAGTTAAAATGATCTTTTATAAAAGAAAAAAAATTCTTAAAGCTTTTCTTTTAGCTTTAATTGAAAGCTAAAAGATTAAATTTATTATTTCCAGTAAGCAAAATACTCTGGTGTATCTCAAACAGAAATTATATTGATTAGAATCGATTTTTTCTAAAATAGCTGATTAGCGCCCTTTTTTGTCGAAATGTAATTCTCTGCGTTAAAGAATCGAAATGTAATTCTCTGTATTAAAAAAATCTTCCTAAAACAAAATATATTTTTCTGAAAATTTATTTGAGGAATATTAGCTGATTTAAGTATGATTGATTTGATTTGAAATAAATATTAGTTACTTTAAGTTTAAATAACACAGAAATGTATTTTTAAAACAAACAGTAACAGTGTTTTTAACTGACATCGCCATGTTTTACGTGATTGACGAGGTGCTGACATATAGATTGTCATTCTATGGAGACTTTATCTGTAAACCATAATTAAGTAAATGATGTGAGCGCCTTTTTTTTTTATATAAGTTTAAGTACTCAGTAATCTTAATTTCTAATATTAGGAATGTTGACTTAAAATCTACTGTAGTCATCGCTCGTATTTTCTGATAATATCGTGTATGGTCGACCATACTATCAAAAATGCGCTCGTTACATATTTATTTAATATTTTATATACATAAATAATAAAAAAATTATTGAAAAACTCTTGGTGCAAAATGATATGTATTAAGCTTTTCAAATTTAGATTAGGTAATATACTTTTCATTTAATAACCCTGTCACCTAACGAGGTTAAATTAATATAAAATTTTAAAAACTAAAATTTTAAAAGATGAAAACAATTCTTGTAAAAATTAATTAGTCATCGAACGAATTTTTTTAAGACAATAGTGTCCTTAATAAATCTTATTTATCAAAGCAATTAAAATCTTTTCTAATTAAATAATGCCAGTTTTATTGCATTTTTTTATTTTAAGATTCATATGCAGTTTGAAATAAATGGAGATTTACATTCTCCAAAGAGTCCTGCTTTTAACTAATAAAATAAATTTTTGGATTAGAATTAAATTTCTGGGAATTTTATGAAATTATGTAAGTGTCTAGGCGTGATGTGGGTTAAGATATATTACAAAATATTTTTTAAAAAAATCCAAAGATAATTTCATTCATTTGCAGATAACTTCCGAAAGTTTTAAAACATCCGAAAATTATTTGATTTTTGCAAGAATTTCCAAATCAATGTGTTTTCACCGGAAAAAAGCGTTAAACACTAATCATCAATATTAAGTCGACCGCTAACGGAAAGAAAACAAGATTTTTAATCAAAATTCTGAATGTGCGAGAAAAAATCAAAAAATACTTTTGTCTTTTCTCTTAATAATAACATAAACATTTTGACGATAAAACTAAGTTTTTATTAAGTTTGTTAAGTTTTCATTATGCTTTGCTGTTTTCTCAGCGAATTAGTGGAGGTACCTAAACAGTTATTTTGTAGATACGCCGTATTTTATTTCAAGTGTCAAAATATCAGCAGACATGTTGTCTGCTAGTTTAATGATTTTTCTTTATCACAGACTTTTTATCGTCTCATTCGTGTTGATTTTTTGTATACTAGCAGGAAAACGAAAAAAAAATGAAACTGATCTATTTATTTTACCCATATAGCGTCTTCTCGTGCGTTTGCAAATTGACTCGTTGGAATAAAAGCGCGAGCTGGTGCATTTCGAAATTTTTTTTTTTTTTGTCAGCGGCCAAAAAGCGTTGAAGTGGGAGTGATGTCATCATCCCTTTCTCCTTCATCTCATTGATACATCGCATCATGGTGAGGTCGACGACTCCATGACAACCGACTACCAGAGCGTAAAACATTTATTTTTTTATATACCCAGTAGAGTATGCCAAAATTGGAAAGGGTTAAATTAAATTTATAACCGGTTAATTAAATTTATAACCTGTTATGAAGACCCTTCGTGGCCGTTTGAAAATTTTTATAAAAAAGGACAACAGCTTAGATGAAAATAACTGAGTTTTCATTTACGTTCCGCTTGTAAATACAGTAGTCACTTTACTTTATTATCTTTGATGTTTAGGCTGGGGAAAATAACACTTACAGGCATAATTAGTGCAATTCAACTATTATACTTTTTTGTTTATATATAACTGTTATGTTTTTTTATTGTAAATAAAGTTTCAACTTCTTATATCTCTAAAAATCGAGCGTTTGACGTGTGTTTCCTTCTCTGCCTTGTGAACCTTGTTAAACGTCATATCGGACTTGTTCCCGAACGGGGGAAATTTCACAAGAATACACTACCAAGTAGTTCATCTTTGTTCTTGTTACATCGATTATTACTTACCCGTAAACATTCGAGATTGTAGGCAGCAATTTCCCATTCATTTTTCCGACAAATATTATTGATTGAAATTAAAGGTGTGATGGAAAAGTTATTACTGTTCTATTTATTTACTGTTTGGTAAATTTATTTTTAATGCAGTTGTAAATTTCTTGTATATATAATGGCATAATTGCGTAATATATATATATATATATATATATATATATATATATACATATATAGAAAAAAGTTGCAAATTAAAAAAATAATAATGTACTTTTATGAAAGTATATGTTTATTTGTATATAATTGATATAATTGCATAATATATATATATATATATATATACATGTAATATAATGACATAATTATAATATATATATATATATATATATATATATATATATATAACGACATAATTACATAATATATATATATACATGTAATATAATGACATAATTATAATATATATATATATAACGACATAATTACATAATATATATATATATACATGTACTATAATGACATAATTATAATATATATATATATATAATGACATAATTAATTATATATATATATATATATATATATATATATATATATATATATATATACATGGTATCACGATTCCGACTCTTCACACCTACAGGATTGGTTAGCTAATGCCTATTGCAGGAGGATGTGCGTATCACGAAGCCAATGTGTAGCTCATACTGAACCTACACTGAGCTGTGTTTAGTTCGAATTTCTGGAAATGTGCTCATAAACTGGCAAGATCAGTAGTTAACAAAGCTCGTCCGTTAGAAACCAGAGTAATCATGATTTCTGAAAATATTTTCAATGACTTGGGGTATCAAGCGGTATAGAAGACTACAACATTCCTTTTCATAATTCAGGCGCTATAGATGACTATCACTTTCCCATTCAAACATCAGGCAGCATAGATGACTATCACTTTCCCTTTCATATATCAGGCAATATAGATGACTATCACTTTTTCTACCATGCATCAGGCGGTATAGATGACTATCACTTTCCCTTTCATACATCATGCGGTATATATGACTACCACTTTCCCTTTCATACATCAGGAAGTATATATGACTATCTCTTTCGCTTTCATACATCAGGCGGTATAGATGACTATCACTTTCCCTTTAATATATCAGGCAAGATATATGACTATCACTTCCCCTTTCATACATCAGGCAGTATAGATTACTATCACTTTCCCTTTCATGCATCGGGCTCTATAGATGACTATCACTTTTCCTTTCATACATCAGTCACTAAAGATGACTATCACTTTCCCTTTCATACATCAGGCTGTATAGATGACTATCACTTTCCCTTTAATATATCAGGCAAGATATATGACTATCACTTTCCCTTTCATACATCAGGCAGTATAGATTACTATCACTTTCCCTTTCATGCATCGGGCTCTATAGATGACTATCACTTTCCCTTTCATACATCAGGCGGTATAGATGAGATTCACTTTCCATTTCATACATCAGGCAGTATAGATGACTATCACTTTCCTTTTCATACATCAGGTAGTATAGATGACTATCACTTTCCCTTTCAAACATCAGGCGGTATAGATTACTATCACTTTCCCTTTCATACATCAGGAAGTATATATGAATATCACTTTCCCTTTCATACATCATGCTGTATAGATGACTATCACTTTCCCTTTCATACATCAGGCAGTATATATGACTATCACTTTCCCTTTCATACATCAGGCAGTATAGATGACTATCACTTTCCCTTTCATACATCATGCGGTATATATGACTATCACTTTCCCTTTCATACATCAGGCAGTATATATGACTATCACTTTCCCTTTCATACATCAGGCAGTATAGATGACTATCACTTTCCCTTTCATACATCGGTCGCTATAGATGACTATCACTTTCCCTTTCATACATCAGGCGGTACAGATGCCTATCACTTTCCCTTTAATACATCATGCGGTATATATGACTATCACTTTCCTTTTATACATCAGGAAGTATATATGACTATTACTTTCCATTTCATACATCAGGCTGTATAGATGACTATCACTTTCCCTTACATACATCGGGCGCTATAGTTGACTATCACTTTCCCTTTAATACATCGGGCAGTATAGATGATTATAACTTTCCTTTCATACATAAGGCGGTATAGATGACTATCACTTTCCCTTTCATACATCGTGTTCTATTGATGACTCTCACTTTCCCTTTCATACATCAGGTGGTATAGATGACTATCACTTTCCCTTTCATGCATCGGGCGCTATAGGTGAGTATCACTTTCCCTTTCATGCATCGGGCGCTATAGATGACTATCACTTTCCCTTTCATGCATGGGGCACTATAGATGACTATCACTTTCCCTTTCATGCATCGGGCGCTATAGATAACTATCACTTTCCCTTTCATGCATGGGGCACTATAGATGACTATCACTTTCACTTTCATGCATCGGGCAGTATAGATGACTATAACTTTCCCTTTCATACATCGGGCGCTATAGATGACTATCACTTTCCCTTTCATACATCAGGCAGTATAGATGACTATCACTTTCCCTTTCATACATCAGGAAGTATATATGACTATCACTTTCGCTTTCATACATCGCGCTATAGATGTCTATCACTTTCTCTTTCATACTTCAGGCGGTATAGATGACTATCACTTTCCCTTTCATGCATCGGACGCAATAGATGACTATCACTTTCCCTTTCATACATCAGGCAGTATAGATGACAATCACTTTCCTTTTTATATATCAGGCAGTATAGATGACAATCACTTTCCCTTTCATACATCAGGCGGTATAGATGACTATCACTTTCCCTTTCATACATCAGGTGGTATAGATGACTATCACTTTCCCTTTCATACATCAGGCGGTACAGATGACTATCACTTTCCCTTTCATGCATCGGGCCGTATAGATGATATAACTTTCCCTTTCATACATCGGGCGCTATAGATGACTATCACTTTCCCTTTCATACATCAGGCAGTATAGATGACTATCACTTTCCCTTTCATACATCAGGTAGTATAGAAGACTATCACTTTCCCTTTCATGCATCAGGCAGTATAGATGACTATCACTTTCCCTTTCATACATCAGGCGGTATAGATGACTATCACTTTCCCTTTCATGCGTCGGGCGCTATAGATGACTATCACTTTCCCTTTCATGCAGCGGGCGCTATAGATGACTATCACTTTCCCTTATATGCATCGGGCAGTATAGATGACTATCACTATCCCTTTCATACATCAGGTAGCATAGATGGCTATCACTTTCCCTTTCATACATCGGGCGCTATAGATGACTATCACTTTCCCTTTCATACATCAGGCGGTATAGATGACAATCACTTTCCCTTTCATACATCAGGCAGTATAAATGAGTATCACTTTCCTTTTCATACATCAGGCAGTATAGATGACTATCACTTTCCCTTTCATACATCAGGCGGTATAGATGACTATCACTTTCCCTTTCATACATCAGGTAGTATAGATGAGTATCACTTTCCCTTTCATACATCAGGTGGTATAGATGACTATCACTTTCCCTTTCATGCATCGGGCGCTATAGGTGACTATCACTTTCCCTTACATGCATGGTGCACTATAGATGACTATCACTTTCCCTTTCATACATCAGGCAGTATAGATGACTATCACTTTCCCTTTCATGCATCAGGCAGTATAGATGACTATCACTTTCCCTTTCATACATCGGGCAGCATAGATGACTATCACTTTCCCTTTCATACATCAGGCGGTATAGATGACAATCACTTTCCCTTTCATACATCAGGCGGTATAGATGACCAATCACTTTCCTTTTCATACATCAGGCAGTATAGATGACTATCACTTTCCCTTTCATACATCAGGCGGTATAGATGACTATCACTTTCCCTTTCATGCATCGGGCGCTATAGATGACTATCACTTTCCCTTTCATGCATGGTGCACTATATATGACTATCACTTTCCCTTTCATACATCGGGCGCTATAGATGACTATCACTTTCCCTTTCATGCATCGGACGCTATAGATGTCTATCACTTTCCCTTTCATACATCAGGCAGTATAGATGACTATCACTTTCCTTTTCATATATCAGGCAGTATAGATGACTATCACTTTCCCTTTCATACATCGGGCACTATAGATGACTATCACTTTCCCTTTCATACATCAGGCGGTACACATACTTTCCCTTTAATACATCATGCGGTATATATGACTATCACTTTCCCTTTTATACATCAGGAAGTATATATGACTATCACTTTCCATTTCATACATCAGGCTGTATAGATGACTATCACTTTCCCTTTCATACATCGGGCGCTATAGTTGACTATCACTTTCCCTTTCATACATCGGGCAGTATAGATGATTATAACTTTCCTTTCATACATAAGGCGGTATAGATGACTATCACTTTCCCTTTCATACATTGTGTTCTATTGATGACTATCACTTTCCCTTTCATACATCAGGTGGTATAGATGACTATCACTTTCCCTTTCATGCATCGGGCGCTATAGGTGACTATCACTTTCCCTTTCATGCATCGGGCCGTATAGATGATATAACTTTCCCTTTCATACATCGGGCGCTATAGATGACTATCACTTTCCCTTTCATACATCAGGTAGTATAGATGACTATCACTTTCCCTTTCATACATCAGGCAGTATAGATGACTATCACTTTCCCTTTCATGCATCAGGCAGTATAGATGACTATCACTTTCCCTTTCATACATCGGGCAGCATAGATGACTATGACTTTCCCTTTCATACATCAGGCAGTATAGATGACAATCACTTTCCCTTTCATACATCAGCCAGTATAGATGACTATCACTTTCCTTTTCATACATCAGGCAGTATAGATGACTATCACTTTCCTTTCATACATCAGGCGGTATAGATGACTATCACTTTCCCTTTCATGCATCGGGCGCTATAGATGACTATCACTTTCCCTTTCATGCATCGGGCGCAATAGATGATTATCACTTTCCCTTTCATGCATCGGGCAGTATAGATGACTATCACTTTCCCTTTCATACATCGGCCGCTATAGATGACTATCACTTTCCCTTTCATGCATCGGGCGCTATAGATGACTATCACTTTTCCTTTCATACATCAGTCAGTAAAGATGCCTATCACTTTCCCTTTCATACATCAGGCTGTATAGATGACTATCACTTTCCCTTTAATACATCAGGCAAGATATATGACTATCACTTTCCCTTTCATACATCAGGCAGTATAGATTACTATCACTCTCCCTTTTCATGCATCGGGCTCTATAGATGACTATCACTTTCCCTTTCATACATCAGGCTGTATAGATGACTATCACTTTCCCTTTAATACATCAGGCAAGATATATGACTATCACTTTCCCGTTTATACATCAGGCAGTATAAATTCCTATCACTTTCCCTTTCATGCATCGGGCTCTATAGATGACTATCACTTTCCCTTTCATACATCAGGATGTATAGATGACTATCACTTTCCCTTTCATGCATCTGGCTCTATAGATGACTATCACTTTCCCTTTCATACATCAGGCAGTAGAGATGACTATCACTTTCCCTTTCATACATCGGGCGCTATAGATGACTATCACTTTACCTACCATGCATCAGACAGTATATATGACTCTCACTTTCCCTTCCATACATCAGCCGGTGTAGATCATTGGGTTTTATGTCATCTAAACTAGTTTTCTTGTTTGAACCGGGGCTTCTAAAAGTAATGATTATTTCTTTCCACATATTTCCGGTTTTCTAAGTGTGTGAGTTTCTCTTGGTAATGTTGGGGTTGTTGTTTCTCTATGGCTCTAATGTGTTCTTTCTCGCAATAAGGTATCGTTTGGATATTTCTATATTTGTGGCTTCTGTATGTGAAATATCTGCAGAAATTTTCGTGGAATTGTGATATCGGTAGTGTTTGTCAGATTTAGTTTGTTGTGCTAGGTGTTATCTGTCAATTTTGTTTTTGTGAATGTATGTGTATTCTGACCTTTGTCTGGTTGTGTTATAGTGTGATGGTCTGTTTGAATGTATATCCCTCAAGGACACATGGCACAGTGAATAAAGGCATTGGTTTGATCCAGTTATACGACCCAAATAGTCTGAGTTCAATACCCGGCTAAGGCAGTGGAGAACTTTGAGAGGGGAATTAACAGGAGATTACTGAAAATTGACATACATTAAAATATGGCACGTGGAACTAGAACAGTCTACCCCAGTGAGCGAAATAAACGGTTCAATTCAACATTTCAACCGCCTGAAGAAAGCCGGAGCGTAAAACGGACGAAACGTTGTGATCAATATGGCGATAAAGATGAGGAAAATTGTCCGACCATGTAAATAATGTACATAATACCTCATCTCAGTAATATAGGTAGATATTTTCACTTCTCTTAACGGCCATCATCTATTGACCTTTGATCTCTTTATTATAGAATGGACAAATATTTTTTCAGTGTTTTGATTTGTTGGAGGTGGTGGGGAAGTAATTTTTACTCCAAATGTTCCATGTTTTAAAAAGTTTGCGGTTATAATTTTGCCAATGTTTGAAATGAAACAAATATAGGTAAAGGCGAAATTCTAAGTTTTTGTCATCTTGCAGATGATTTTTTTAGGTATATATTTATGCTTGTTTTGTTAGCCAGGAGCTATTTTTTTTCAATTCCTGTATTTACCTGTTTTCTCGCAGACAACATTTATATTTTACTTATTCAATTGATATTTTTTAGAAGTGGCAGATTTGAATTATTACTCATTTAATGTATCTCTAGTCGTAGAGTTCTTTGTAGACAGTTCAACATAAATATTCACGTGGGTCATGTTGGGGGTAATGACTTTACAACGGTTCACCTAAGTCATTTTTCTCATGTCGTCTTTGGACGTCTCTAGTGCTATTTACTGAATTTCTATTTAATCAATATCTGTCTTCTACCATATTTTCTTGATTTAATATTGATTTTACAGATTCTGATTGGCTTGAGGCATTTTCGTAGACAATACATCTTGAATTAAATATTTATTCTATGATGTATAAAACAAAATTAAGTTATAACTGCTTTCTGACTGTAATTGTATTCTTTTTTTATGGATAAGTCAAAACTCTGGCCTTTAGGAATATTTTAAAACATTTTTGACTAATCATTACAATATTACTCTACGTGTTTTGAACAAAAAGTATCGGGACTAGTGTTATGGAAACGGAGCTAAAGTATGCAGAGTGAAGCCGCTTGGCACAAATTGACCTTGGACACGCATGCGCGCAGATGCTGTGTTATAATGTTCTCACTCACTTCTAATCTTTATAGCTGTGTTTGGAAAGAAAGTCTTGGAAGGAAGTGTGTCGAGTATGGTCGTCTCATCATACCAGAGAGGTTCCATCAATGACTATATCTTTTGAAGCAATCTTTGTCCAAGAATAAAATTCCTCAGGTTCAACAACCAACGTATTCACCATGATTCCACCTTGCGACATTTCCTTCGAGGAAATCCAAGAGAATGCGTCGAGTCTGCATCCTGCTACCCTTAAAAGAAGTTCAATGAATGCTTTCCTTAACAGAAACGACGCTTTGATAAAGGCTGTGGCTTCAAAACAGAGCTACTTCGAAGGCGATCAAATATCGAATTGATATGTCTTGTAGTCTTTCTTTCTCTTTATAGGACCAGCTTGATACTTTATAATCAGACCTTGTATATCTATCTATCTATCTATCTATCTATCTATATATATATATATATATATATATATATATATATATATATATATATATAAATGTAGAGTAGTTATGAGAATTGCCTAAATCTTCAATATTATTCTTATTTTATTGTTTTCTTTCCTGGTATCATTTGATTGTGTTTTACCTACTGTAAGACATGGTTTATTTGATATTTTGAAATTTTATGGGCTTTAAATGTTGGTGGCTGTTTGGTCTTAAATTTCTTGGATGTTTTCTTATTAATACAGGCTTACTACCATTTGGATTATATATATATATATATATATATATATATATATAGTATAATATTAAACAAAATATCAGATAAATAATCATGGCAAGAAATGAAATATGAAACAAGAAACAAAGGAAGTAAAATATAACGATATCAAACCATTTAAAAAGATAAATTAAATTTTGATTGTAATTAACTATCTATCTATCTATCTTTCTCTCTCTCTCTCTATATATATATATATATATATGTGTGTGTGTGTGTGTGTGTGCGTGTGAATGTAGGGTAGCGTATCGGTGTGCGGGGTTTAATTCCACTAGATTCTGTTTCGTTTACTTCTGACTACAACCATTTTGAAAGTAATACATCCACCTTATATCAGCTACGAGCTAAATAACAGAACAGTCTAGGCGTTTTGAGGAGACATTCAGTCTAGGACAGGGGCCGGCAACCTGCGGTACACGTGCTACACATGGCACACCAAGCAATTTCCAAAGGCACGCAGCCACAAATGATATCACGAAGTCCGAACCAATAACTACTACAACGCAAAGAAGATATTAACTGTTTCAATTTTAATATATACGAAAGTATAGATAATATATATATTACTATATAAAGTATATTGTAGAACGGGTATATTGACCATGACTTGTATAAAAATGCGCATGCTGTTGGCACATAGAATGATTTTAAAAGTTTTTTAACTCTAAGATAAAGACAGAAAATCCTTGTAATTAAAACGTACAATTCTCTGAAAGCTTGTGAAAATCAATAAGACCAGTCCATCATCCGAGGTTCTGAGAGGATGGAATCATGAAGCTGCCCCGAAGATGTAACAAAAGTTGAATAAATATATGTACAAATAATCAAAATATTGTCTTCAAATTTCACTTAAAACGTTATGAACTATTCTTCTGATTCAATAGACGATGTTCTATTTTCAGCGTTCGAATTCGTCTATCATTTAGTGACAAACGCGGCTTTATGTGATTTTTGGGAAAATTTTTGCGTTTAATATACTGAAAATTGATAACGCCGAGAGATCGTTTCAGACTAAGGGAAAGAGGATTTTTTAAAAACTTGATATTAAAATAATTCTTTTTACCTGCAAAGAAAAAGACAACCACATATTTCTATAATGATCGCAGACCTTTGTGGAAAGAGAAAAATATGAATATATGTATGTATTTCCTTTTGAAATAATGTATAATTTCCCTAAAGCCGCGGCTGATGTATCGAAAAGGTTGCAAAGCAGTCCATTGTGTTTTAACAGCGGGGCATCTTATTTAATATTGAAATCATCGGCCACTCTAACATTTCCCTCTTTTATCGTCTGTGCAAGGTGACCAATGTTTCGTGACACTAATGCCTGAAATAAAAAATGGTATAGACTTCTTGTCTAATTCGAAGACGTTCTGTTCTCTGATTGGTATTAATGGAGTGATTGAAAACCGAGAGGAAAGAGGACAATTTCGCTTCCAGTATCAACATTTTTCCGGACACTGTTTGGTTCGTTTTCAAGAACTTACCAATTTTAAGTTTATCTTCAAAGATCTTTATTTTTTTTCAAATCGAAAGTAAAAAAAAAAAAAAAATCTATTCCTAGTTCTTCTTTAAGTGCTTTGTCCCTTTAGGAAGTATGTCTCCATATATCTCTAATGATTCCTTTTAAAGACAAATCTGCAAATAGTGCATTGCCATGATTGTTCCTGGAAAAGTTAGCGGAGTGTTTCCTCACAGACAGTATGTTTACTCACGGGACAACCGCCAAGAGGATTAAAACATTGGTTTGTGACTTTGCTGGCATAGTTCAATCCCTGCCCTGGATCGTACAGACGTAGAATCAGTGGAAGTAGGGTGGCTAGTAATAAGACAAGATATCTCTTAACATGGACAACAAAAGGAGAACAGAGAGAAAGAAAAGGAGAATAAAAAAAATAATTGTCGGACTTTAACCATTTCATAATGTGTGAAGTCATTTGTTTACAGTTGATACGCATTGAACAGATATGAATGTATGAGAGAAAATCATAGAGAATTGTGTTTAAAAACAGTAAAATCGACCTTGGTAACCGAACGCTTCTCTGTGGCCCAATCGGTTAAGGCACGTCAGGCTATATGACGGTTCTGTATAGGATACAGGTTCGATTTATGTCAAAAGGAGAACAGTCTCCCAACTATAGATTAAAGTTTTAAAGAATAAATATCTTTATAAAATCCCTAATGTCCATAGATTAAAATCCCTAAGTTCTGTAGATTAAAGTTCACTTTAAAAATACCTAATGGTTACTCGTAACTCTGTGACATTTGAGAAAGATCGGAGGACTCACCGGCTGAGATGTTGAGATAATGACAACAAATACTCAGAAAAAAAGCCGGAATATAAATAAAAAATAATTCCTCATCCTAGAAATTTAGACAGAGTTTTTATTTCTTACTCAAACAAATCCAAATATTTTCATGATTTTTAATAATAATGGGTACTTCTGTCTGCAAGCCCGTGCCGTGGCACTAGACATCTCCAAAGCATTTGATAGGGTTTGGCATGCCGGCCTTCTTCGCAAGCTCCAGGGTTATGGCATTACGGGTCGATTATATAACCTAATACAATCATTCCTGTCAAACTGTGAATTGAAGGTCGTTCTAAACGGATTCTCCTCCAGTTCCTATCCCACGAACGCAGGTGTTCCTCAAGGCTCCATCCTAGGCCCCGCTCTATTCCTTATCTATATAAATGACC